ATTGTAATTCTACCAGCTGACAAAGGGCGGATGACAATGAGAATGGACAAACCGGAGTATATTAACAAGGCCACAGAACTGCTATCCGACACAATTACATATCGCTAGGTTGATCAAGAGCCAAGTTCAAAATTGGTCAACCAGATCAAAGCAAGGTTGAAGAAACTACAAACATAGAACGAGCTCACCGTCACGGAGAGCTGGAGAATGAAGGCTGATGATACAAATATTGCACTGTTCTATGGACTACCAGAAGTACACAATGATGGAGTCCCACTGCGGCCAATTGTCTTACTCTCCGGAACCCTATCATATACACTAGAGAAAGGTTTTTGGAGGTTGAAAAATTTGGTTTCTGGATCCCGACATAGCATCAACAATGCCAAACAACTATTCAACAAACTGCGGAATGTCTGAATAGAAATAATGCTTGCTTGAAATAATGCTTGCGTTCGATGTCACCGCACTCTTCACTTCAACCGGTCACGAATTAGCCAAAGAAATCATGATGGAACTACTTGAGAGTCAACTAAGCCCAACGACAAACATACGGCTAAAAGTTTCTTTGGAAATCCTAAACCTCTACATCACGACTTGTTTCCGCTTTGATGGAAAGTGTACCAGCAACTGAGAGGAACGGCTATGGGATCCCTAATTTCGTGGCTAATTTCAGAAGTCTAAATGCAAAAAATTGGAGCGCATTGCAATACCATATATCAGTCTAAAAATCTGGATACGATACGTGGACAACACGTTTGTCATCGTAAAACGGAACAGAGTATAAGCCAAGCAAGATTTACTCGAAAGAACGTTCGAGGATAACAAATTTACGATTGAATTAGAGGAGGATGACATGTTACCATTTTTGGATGTACTGGTCACTAGGAATACCGACGGATTTCTGCAAACGTGATTATATCGAAAGAAAACGCATAAGGACCAGATATTAAATTATCACGGGAACCAGCCGCTGAATCGAAAGATATGCTACATTCAAACCCTGTTCAAAAACGCGGAACCTTACTGCAGCACAGCGGAATCGCAGAAACAGGAAGATAATCGCATATATCGAATGTTAATGAACAACGGTTATCCGGGAAATTTCATCAGAAGTAGCTTAAAGAAACGAACGCCTCAGCAACAGCAGCAGCAGTCATCTGATCATGCAAAAAACGGAGAGTGCTGTCCCACACCAGGAAAGTCTCCAAACTAACAGGAAGCTTACTGCAGTCATATGGAATTCCTGTGGATAAAACGTCAATTGCCACACTCAGGAAATTGTCTCAAGACCGAAAGAAAAGTCAGTCAAGTCCACCAATGCAATGTCATCTACCAGATAAAATGCAGCGACGGCGTTAAAAACTATGTCGGACAAATTGGAAGAAACCTTAGCAAACGAATCACTGAACACAAGGTGGCCGTCAGATGGCGCGATCCGCACTCATTGGTTTCTGTACATGCAGATGAATAAAGCCACCATTTTGATCTGGAAAACGTAAAGATCTTAGCACGTGGAAGTACAAAACACGCGAGGGATTATTCTGAAGAATAGTACTAAACAACGAATTCAATCAATCGACACATCGAACTAGACGCAGTATACGCAACGCTACTGGCGAACGCCGCCAACTCGATCGATTAAATCCGGTGGAAGGTGTGACTAGACAAACAGAACTGATGACAGACTCGCTCGCAAGAGCAAGAAGACAAAGGACACCAAACACAAGGAGGCAGTTCAAAGGTCGTCTGCCCATCAACCAAACTGAACGCGGATCGAAGTCCCAACAAATAGGATTGCTCATCTCCACGCACAACCACGGCGGTATAAAAACACACACACACACCATGCTCAGTACACTCTCAACTAGGTTCCTCTACGCTACTCTAGGCTACTGCAAGCCACTCAACTAAGCACTGATGAAGTCATCTTGATTGGTGACGAAACGTTTGCAACTAAATTGCCAAGATCAGCGAACATTTCAACCACCATATTGACAAGTTTCTGAAGCAACGCTTACAAATATGGGATGTGCTGGAAGTATATGGAAATTAGAAAATGTTTACTTTGCTAGCATGGGTGATGTTGATAGCGTTTAAGTGCAGGGCTCAAATGGAGTGCTAACCGCTCTCTTCTTCTGGAGTCAAGGTGGGTAAGGCGACCAATCACAGTCCAAAGTTTAGCCTTGAGTAGAAGGTACGGCTACAATGTTATCGAATAATCCGTTTTACCTATGATCAATAACCTTCCCGAATTATGTAAACTTTGCTTCATGCTGCGATAGTTGGCTTATGCAGATCTATTGTAAAACCACGCGGAACATCAGAGCTAAACAGTCCGTAGATAAAGAAGGATATAGAATTATTAATGACAGGGAGTATAAAGTGTAGATATGACAGTACATCAGAACGTACCTGAGCATGCTGCAAAGGATATACAAAGGGAATTTTGAATTTGCTAATTTTAAGCACCATCCATTAAACCCTGAATAATATACATGGAGCAAGCGCATTGCGTATGTATTAAATAGGGTTATGGCTTCTTTCTCTTTGGTATAATTGAGTTGTAAATCGTTTATGAACGAATATCACAAATGTAACCTTTACAAAAGTAAAGACAAAATGGTCATGATAATGAGCCCAATTATGTCAAGATACGGCGCTTGCTCCATCAAACTACTTTAGAGCAGCTTATGGGTTCAGAGTAATTTGCCTACGTGGTTTGAGTAAAATGGCAAATATGCTTGCAGGATGATATACAAAATGACTTCTTGCACTGACATGCTGCTTCAGCAATGGCAAGCATGTGGCCTATTACATTAGTGAACCGAAGAACTATAAATGTCTATTCCGGCAGAAAACCAGTAATGAACTTGTTCTGAATTGCCAACCATGCCATACACAGACCCACACCCGAATACAAGGTATTCATTGCAAAATCACAGTAATATAACAGCATGACTCTTGGAAGTTGCTTGTTACTGTGCCACTACAAAACTAATATCTGACTAATGCACATATGAGCACTGGATATATACAAGGCGGCAACCGCGCTGCTCTCTGCTCTGCAATGCAATCGCACTAGTAATCCAGGTAAACCCTATAAACTCGGTAAAACTTAAAATTTCGAACCTTGGTTGAAGAACTAACTTCCGCGACATGATCCGTGTCAGAATTTAAGTGTACCAAGGTTATGTATTGGAATCATCGAATTTGGCTTCCTTTGTTCGCGCACGTAGCGTGCTACATGGCCGACAGCTTGTTGAACATACTCCGTGTGCTATCACGTAGCAAGAGGTATCCAGTACGCAACTATAACACTGCACAACATCATATTTAAAACAGAAATGAGATAGAATGTTTTTCTTGTAGTACCAAGGGAGCTGACTACGAATATTCCAACCAGATGTTTCTATCACGCCGGTTTATAGTTAATAACCAGCTTTCATTTCAACTAAGCAATGCGTTCCATGCTTCGAATGCGCGCCTGTGATTGTCCCATTTGCTCCTCGTAATGGTCGAAAAGAAGTCCACTTAGCCACGTATCCCCCTGATGCT